TTTGCTCCCTCCCTTGACGCCTTCAAGACCCTCCTTTTCGACCATGCCTTCAGCTGCCCGCCTACCTCTCTGCCCTCCCTCATCCCAACCCTGCCCCCACCTCGCTCGGATCCTGATCCCTGACTGTTCAGCGCCTTGGGACATTCTCCCAACATGAAATGCACTCTATAAATGTGATTTTGTTGTTGTTCATTTTGTAAAAATAATAAGTTCCAGAGATGAATAGTTAACTTGAATTTTAACAATGTGGGCTGCACCTTTTCTCCATTCACTTACGGGAGATATAGAGCAGGTCGGAGCCTGCTGAACGGAGGGAGTGGATAGGTTGATAGAGCGCTAGCATGTCAGAGATGTAGGAGGAGACAAGGCCATGGAGGGCCTTGAAAGTGAGGATGAGGATTTTGAATTCTATTCTCTAAGGCATGGGGAGCCAGTGGAACCAGGTGAGGGTGGTTATTATAAAATGCTTATTATTGGTTTAATTTGGCAACACCATTCAACAAGATTCAACAAGTAAATGTCAAACGTGAATCAATAAATTTGAAAATGTATCAATCTGTACAATATGATGTTAGACTCATTTTCAATACCTTTTGAGGAAGAAGTAACTAAAGCATCATCTAATTTCTATTGACTTTCAGGGATATTTGAATATTTACATTTGAATACAGACAGCAGTTTTGGAAACTTGCTAGTAAGAAGTGTGAAAAAGGTCAATTATCAATATACAATACAAAAATACAAAATTACATTTGTATAGCACCTTTCACGTCGGGAGGACGTCCCAAGGCGTTGGACAGTCAGGGATTTGGACCCGATGTATAACTCAAACACAAAGATTGTTGAAGCACGCTTGCCTAATGATCATTGTTAATTTAATTCCATTTAGGTTGGCACACACAAAAACATCTAACTCGCAATTTCTCAATGTCAGCATTGAGATTTCCCAATGTCACCAAAAATCACTATTTGAACAAAAATATTCCAAGAAATCAACAAAATTAGCAATACTGGTTCAAAAGGTTTTATAATAATTCTATATTTGGTATGTCTTATTTAATATAATAATAATAATCCTTGCATTTGATATAGAGCTTTTCACATCTTCTCGACATCTCAAAGAGCTTCACAGAATAGACTGTAAAGTGAATTGACCGTATATTTGTGGGCGAAACGCGGCAGCCAATTGAGCACAGCAGTGTCCCACAAACAGTCGTGGGTGGTTTGAAAATTATCAATTTATTATTGTTTTGCTTCGGGGGATTATTATTAGGTGTGTGGAGTAAGGAAACTTGTCCAAGGTTTTGTCCTGCCTGGAATTGAACCCAGGTATCTCGCTTGCAAGGTGAGTGCTCTAACCATTGAGCTACAGGACAATACATTGAGGCATCTCAAAATGCTTCCCAGGAATCACTGCAAAGTGCAATGCCTATATTTTTTGTAGGTGAATGCATGTTCCACAAACAGACAATCAAGTAAATGACCAATTTTATCTGGGAGATAACTGCCCAGGTCACTCGGAGAAACTCTTCTCTTTTCAAATCTTTCCAGCAGATCATTAACATCCACCTAACCAGGCACGAGACCTTTGTCTTCATTGAAGTGTCAGCTTAGACTTCTAGATCAAAGCCCCAATGTGGGGTTTGAACCTACAACCTTCTGACTCAGAGGTAAAAAACTACCAACCAACCCATCTCTCAGTAAAGAACCAAGAATCCTGACTTGATTTGGAGGTACACCTATTGCATTACATTCAGTGATTTTTTCCAGTTGTTAAAATAAATTTGCAAAACAGGTAACAAATTGTAAACTTTAAAAATATTCTCATCTTGATATAGAAGCCTAACAAATCTACTTATAAATGCATTCAACAATTGCATCGGACTACTTTGCTATTAGTTATTAGTACAGAAGTAGACAGACAATCAATTATAAAACTACAACAGAATTTTTTAGAAAATTACCAGTTGAAAATGCCTACGTCAATCACTAAATTCAGATTGGCTGCATATTGCATTCTCACACTTAAATGGATTTAAGAGTTAACACAAACAAGGATGCCCTTACAAGTCCAACCACAAACTGCACTTTATAGGCCTTCACAGTCCCCAAGCATAACAGAATCTAGGGCAAACTGAGGTTTCACACTGACACAAGGCTCTAGAGTTTCAAATATTCTGTTTCACAATGTAGTCGGGCATGGATTCATGCTGGCAATTCCCTACAAAATAAAATAATAATAATCCTTATGTTTGATATAGCCTGGTTGTGCCATTGAAACATCTCAAAGCAATTCACAGGATTTACAATAGAGTAGTCATTTTGTATTTTTTTTCCAAGGTGAATACCTGTGTACAGCAGTATCCCACAAACAAATAACATAAATGCTAGACGAAAAAAGACCAAAGTTCATCTAGTTCGCCTTCCACCTTCCTGGTGGTCGCATGCAAATATGTCCCAAACTACCTATCTACTATATCCCAGAATGTTATTTCCTAAAAGAAACTCTAATCTGCGTTTGAAAGAATCAACACTTCCTGCTTCAACCATCTCCCTAGGAAGCCTGCTCCACAGGTGAAATATATGGGTGAAGTGAAAGATCAAATTTTATCTGGAGGTTAGCTGGCCAGGCCACCAGCAGAAATTTTCTATTCAAAAATAGTGCCATGGGATCTTTAATGTCCACCTGAAAAGGAACATGGGACCTTGGTTTAATGTCTCACCCTAAAAATGGCACCTCCAACATTGCAATGGTAGCACTTTGTCAGCCTAGACTATGAGCTACAAGTGGAGTTTAACTCCACAATCTGCCGACTCAGAGGTGAAACTTAAATAGTGTCTTAAACATGGGGAGAACATCTCAAAAAACTTTATAAAATAAGTGGGGTGTAGCAGGTGGGGCTATGAAGCAACAACATCTTGGATTTATATAGCGCCCTCCACGCCCGAGCCAGGGGGAGGGGGAGGAAGGTGAGCAAAGGGTGGTCAAAAAGAAAGGTCTTCAGCAGAGACCTGAAAATGGGAAGGGAGGGAACGAGATGAAGGGAGTGAGGAAGGCAGTTCCAGAGAGATGAAGCAACAGGGGTGGCTGGGGAGTAGTCTCGGAAGGTCGCAGAAGTAGGGAAGTAAAGGGGTATAGATGGAATCTGAAGGCAAGAGTGGGGATCCTAAAGTTGATCCACTTGAGGACAGGATGCTAAAGGAGCCAGACATGAATGAGGATGGGCTTACGAAATCTAATGCAGGACAGGATTCGAGCTGCCCCAGGTTGTGGAGGCCCTCAAGCAGGGATTTGGAAAAGTTGAATGTGGAGGTGAAAAAGTGTTGGATGGTGTTTAGGCTACATGAAGGGTGAGGCGGTGGGAGGCACAATGTTGTAAAAATGGAGGAAATTGGACTTGGTCAGAACTCAATTGAAGCTTTAAAAGAGAGTTGAGTGTTGAAAAGGATGCCAAGGTTCTACACTGGCTCTAGAAATTAGAATGAGCAACCAGTGAGCTTAATGTGGCCAATGCTGGAGGTAAAGGTGGTGCTGACAGGAGCCTCTGTTTTGCTGATGTTGTTAGAGAAATCTATTACTGCTCTATGCATAAGAAATTAATAATTATTGCTGATATTAATGATTACTGATTTAGTTCCTGCTCTCCTCATTTATTTATCACTAACAGTTCAAACATTTTAATTTGCCAATAAAAGTGCATTTAGAAAGCTGGGGAAAAAGCATGGAACTGTAATACTACTACTGCTCCAAATTTCGACTTCAGTGTTGCATAATGTTTAACATTGTAAATCAACTCAAATGGAGTATTCCACTAACATTCAAAACACTTTAAATCTGTATTTAGCATGATGTACAGCACTAACACAATAACGTTTGTAAAGGTCTTAGGTACTACTGTACATTAAATGCAAAACTTGAACATTCTATCGATACCATCCGACACAATATCAGACAAACCAAATGAATCCTAGTATTAGTAATGTGCAAACTCTAGGCCCTAAAATACAGTAGAACTATTAATTTTAGCTTAACTTATGTACTTTACCAATTGGAGTTCCAGACTGTTTATTGAATGTTGTACTACTAGTTATGGAACACATAAAATATCATTAGTGCTATAAATTCATCAGTGAGTAAATATGATTTGGATAACTCCCATGACATATTTCACAATAATTTAGTTACAACAATGCCAACGTTCCTCAAGAAAATCACAAGGTAAATATTTCTCCTGTGACAATACTTGATTTTTTTTTGCACAGCAATGAAATAAAACATGGGTTAAGAAAGGATTTCACAAAATTTCGAAGTCAGTGGGTGGGACACATATTAAACTGGAACTTAGTCATTCTCTCCAACTTGTCTTAAATTTTGCAACAATCTAACAGTTTCATAACAATGTGTCATACGCAAGTGTTTCATTTAAACAAACATTGTCCTATAACAATAATAACCATATCTATTAAACACACGCATTGTGTTGGTAAATAATGTCCGTTACCCGTATATCATTATTCAAGTAAATGCTAAGAAATCTTTCGTTTCGAAATGTCATAGCGTAAGTTTAGTTTGAGAACTATGACAAGATGTAAACCAGGCGCTAAAATCGGAAAAAAAAATAACTTTGAGTGTGTATTGAGTCATCCCCACCTTTCAATACCGTAATATATTAGGATCTTATTTGGTGATGTACCCGCCAGCCACACATGGGGGGGGGGGGGGGGGGGGGGTATCATGGGTACCACCAGACTGCAGCATCCAGCGAGAGCCCAACCTAAGCCACATATCTGGACGCCCCTGAGGGTCAAAGTCAAGCCCGGGGAGGGGAGAAAATACTTAATGCAGAGACAGGGGGAGAGGAGTAAGGAGGTGAAACATCCCTTTCGGAAAGACGTCCCCCACGGTCCCCCAACAAGAAACATTCGGGATGAACAGAAGCGAGAGACGCGTTGCATTTCTACGCGACCTGGAGCTGGAGCTGGAGCCGAGGTGCGTGTACCTGGGGCAAGGCGGAGTTGAGCTGGCGCTGCAGCGAGTCCCTGTCGTAGATGACCTCCTGGAGCTTGGCTTGGGTCAGCGCCAGGCTCTCCTGGCTCTCCCGCAGGGTGTCGAGCAGCCGGTCCCTCTCGTCCAGCATGTTCACCATCAGCTGCTCGAAATTGGAGTCCTCGGCGCTGCTCTGCGAGCCCCTCTGGCTGAGGGTGTCCTCGCTGATGGTCGGCATCACTTCGCACATCATCCTCCCGGCCGGGCGGGTCTCCTCTCCTCTCCTCCTCTCCTCCTCTCCTCGTCTCCTCTCCCCTCACCGAGGCGCCTGGCAGCGGGCAACCGCCCGAAACCTGCCCGCCGAGCCCAGCCAGGGGCGGCCACTCACCACAGTCATCAATCAGCCGCTGCTGGACACACACTCACCCCCTTTTTTTTCCCCCTCTCTCTCTCTCTCTCTCTCTCTCAACCTCCTTTCTCTTTCTCGTTCCCTCTGAGGCTCTCTCTATCCCTCTGTCCCCCTCTTATCCGAATGAGTGCCCAGGGAGCGGGTCAGTCCGTTCTCCTTCTCGGTTTAACAGTAACCGCGGTCTCTCTCTCTCTATCTATCTCCCCCTTCCTTCCCTCCTTCCTCTCTTCCCTCCTCCCTCCCTCTCTCCCTCTCTCTCCCTCCTTCTCCTCACTTGAAAGTCTGAGCGACTTTTGACAGTCGCATCTTTCGGGGCGGGTTTGGGAGGTAATGGGGGGGGGTTTGGGAGGTGTGGGGGGGGGGTTTGGGAGGTGTGGGGGGGGGTTGGGAGGTGGTGGGGGGGGGGTTGGGAGGTGGGGGGTGGTTTGGGAGGTGGTGGGGGGGGGGGTTGGGAGGTGGTGGGGGGGTTTGGGAGGTGATGGGGGGGGGGGTTTGGGAGGTGGTGGTGGGGGGTTTGGGAGGTGATGGGGGGGGGGGTTGGGAGGTGGTGGGGGGTGGGTTGGGGGTTGGGAGTGTTTCTTTGTAAAATGTTACAAAAAAAAATGTTCAGCCAATTCCCATATATTTTTTTGGGGGGGAGGTTCCCGTTAGCACTATAACGCGGAATAAATCAACGCGGCTATATAAAAAAAAATGGAAACTCGGTCGATTCCCTTCGGAGCCCGAGAAACACTGTGTGAACACCCCCACGTACACACGTAAAACAACGGCTCCGAGACAAAACCGAGCCGGTTCCCCAACCTCTCTCCCTCCCTCCCTCTCTCTCTCTCTCTCTCCCTCCTTCCCTCGCCTTCCTTTCTTTCTTCCTTCCTTCCTTCCTTTCCTGGACGTGTGGAGCGGGTGGTGCGGGACGCTCCACGCCGCAGCCGCCGGGTGCCGTTGAAGGGGAGGGGGGGGGGGGGGGACTGGAGTGGGAGCGCGTCTCCTCCGCGGCGGTTACACACAGCGGCGGGTGCGCGAGGAGGAGGCGGTTGGTTGCTTTGCCAATGCGCGGGGGGCGGAGGGGGGGGGGGGGGCGGGGAGAGAAGGGAGGAGGTCGCGCGCCCCAACCCCCTCCCCCCCCCCCCAACCGTCGTTCGAACCGGGGTGACGTTCCAATCCCCGGGCAACGTTCCGAGCTCCGGGTAACGTTCCAATCCCCGCAACGCTGCTCTCGCGAAGCCTCTCTTGCTGCTTCCCTGAGAGGACCCCCCCCCCCCACTCCCCACCGCGGGCAGTGGGGGAAAAAGAGTGTGAGTGAGTGTGTGTGTGTGTATGTGTGGTGGGGGTCGTCGTTATGGGGATGCAGGAGGCGAGCCAGCTCTTCCCCTCCTCACTCTTCACTCCTTACTATCCATCCATCCACTTCCTCTTTTTTTCCTCTTCCTCCTTCAACCTTTCCTCTCCTCCCAACAAAATCGGTTTTTATGTTATGGAGGAAAAAAAAGAACAAAAAGACACCATCCCCTCTCCTCCCCCTCCTAATGATGCAGTGCTAACAAACCCCCACCCACCTCTTCTCTCTCTCTCTCTCTCTCTTACCCTCCCTTCCTATTCACATCACATCTCCAGCGCCCTGGAGGAGCATCTCGTGTATCTGTGCACATGTGTGATGATGATGTGATTTTTTTTTTTGCATGTGTTTCTTGACAAAGATGGGTGCCAAAGAGAGCCAGCCCGCATATACAGTTGTTTGTTGATCACCTCAAGTGTTTGGGAGGGGGGGAGGGTCTTTGCCGACTTCTCACCCACATTGTTTAAATGCAGCATCTCGCTCTCATCCAGCTGTGGGGTAGCGTGTATTCTTTTCAAAAAAAAAGGTAAAGCTTTTCATTTAGGAATCCATCCGTGCAATAGATCTATCTATATTTATATATGTGTGTGTGTGTGTGTGTGGTGTGTGCTGCAATGCAAGTCACGTATGTTTGTAGCGCTACTGTTGTAAAATCTCACGCGGTGTAGTGTAGATTTCAGCAGAGAGCAGATGCAGAACCCGTGCCACTCCCACACTCGACTGAAACATTAGTGCAGACTTCACTATGAATGTCCCACTTTGAGCGCCCTCTAAAGCAGCTGCATGCTTTTTCACCAATGATGTCATTGTTAAGCATCAGTCCGAATGATTGCATTCCTGCAAAAAGCATAAGGGAGAAAAGGGGTGGATGGGTGGGGGGGGCAAATCAAACGATTTATTTAACGGGCATAACCTTTTAAGCCCAGTTAACATCATTTCTCCTCCCCCACCACCCCCTTCTAGGGTGCAATAGTCAATAAAATGATTGCCAACAAATTGAAGCAATGATCAAACAGCCCCGACGAAATGCCGTCGTAAATCTCAAATGAAGAGCACAGGAAGGAAACTCGCTGGTGTGGTGTTTTTGAGTGTAAAACGCTAAAGAGACTTTTAATAATGCCATTGCCAATGTTTCCGAATGGTACAGAAGGTGCATTTTTACGCGTGGACCACAATGTCCTGCGAATCCAATGGCACTCTGTTCAGCATCAGCCTGTAATAGCGCTGACTACTGTGGATTTGCATTCGTCGCTTAAACGTCCACCCCCCTAAGCCCAGCGAACCCACACTTCTTCCATTTCCGTGTCTCTCGGGCTCCTTATTCGCAACAAATTATTTTAGCTAAGTATGGTCAAGGTGATTTGACATTTCAATGGCTTGGTGGTTATCTGGACAGGGAGGCAGGCGGACAGACAGACAGACTGATGCAAATAATTTTTTTCCCTCCAGTGTATGCGTTTGCTTGCGTTCCTAATTATATACCTATTTTTGCTGAAGGGGTTTCTGTCAGGGTCGGATGCAATGTATGCAACCATACACCGTTTTCACCGGAGCTACGCGATGTCCTCTCAATAGGGCGAATTGATAATCGCATCTCTTAAGCAAATCACGAATATGCATCAGGAGAAGAGAACAATACATTTTTTAAAAAAAGATAGAATGATTCTGTTCATATGCAAACTAAGTCGCACTCAATTTGCTTATAAGAGTTGTAATCATCCAGAGGGTTATTTGGAAGGCTCATTTATTGACGAGCTTGACCACTCGGCTTAATTTTCAATAAAGAACTCGTGTTTAAAGTGCAAAAGAGCATTGTAAAACCCAGAGATGGCCTTAGCATCCCCTGATCATGACTTATGGCAAATAAAATTTGTCGTATTTATTTATGGGATTCTTAAAACTGGTAATGCAAGAAGTATTTTGTTAAAATCTTTCACCCAAATAGAGATTCCATCCAATATCCAAAATATATATGTATTAATTAACCTGCAGAAACTCCACTCTAATTCTGGAGCAGAGTTCCTACAGATTAATGGGAATTATAATAATAACAATCCTTGCATTTGATAGAGCCTAATCAAGTCTTCAAGATGTCTCAAAGCGCTTCACAGAAGACTGTAAAGTGAATTCACTGTATATTTTGGGGGCGAAACACGGCATGCAATTGCACCAGCAATCATGGATTGAGTGACCAAATTATTTTTTTTGAGGGGATATTATTCCTGGAAAAGCAGTCTGCCAATCAACTAACAACCGGATTCCTACTTACTGCTAGATAAACAGAGGCTTATGGAGTAAGGAATCTTGCCTAATGTTTTGCCCCACCTGGGAATCAAACCTGGGTCCTCTGGCTTGCGAGGTGAGTACACTAACCACTACGCTAAGGTCTCCACAGAATTGTAATGAGAATCCATTTACGAATCTTGTTAATTAAATTTTGATATTTCTAAGGAATATACAACCTACGACTATATAGGAATATACAACTTTAGCACACAATACCATTTTAGATTTCAAAACTTTATATGCTACTTTTCCCAAGTGTACCAAGGAATATAAAACCAGATGAATCTAATGCTTTAATACATTTGATACATTTCAAGTTGAAGCAGTGTGTTGCAATCTTGCCTTCAGGTGTGGCCATTGATAACCAGCAGGATGTCTTCCTTCGTGATCTCAAGATCATTTTGTACCAGGTAGAGCCAGAATATCCTTTACAATGTTTACATTACATGCTCATTTGAAGTAGCAGGTAGATTTTTGATTAACATCAATTCCTGGCTCAAAGAATTGTATTATTGCTTCTTTTATGCAACAGTAGGTTTGACTAGTTGGATGAAATGTTCCGAAACAAATTAATTACAATCTGATCGTATTACAGAATTGTAAAGATGTGTGAAAATAAACTTGTCAACTATTGAAAACTAGATTGCTGAAATAATTCAGTGTATCCTACTTTATTCTGGTGATGAAATGTAATCCCCAGTTTAAGCTAATCTATAAATATATTGAAAGTACAGAGTTTGAAAAGATAAAGAAATATCAATGTAATTTCAGGGAATTGATCCATATATTTAGCTCAATGGATAATGAACTTAAAATCAAGTTTCCTTTTTCCTTCTTTGATATTTTGGGAAAACCGATAAAGAAGGAGATAGTCTAGAAACAGAAAAGTACAACCTGTATTCAGTGTCTGGGCAAGGTCAGCTCTGAAGGCAGATATGACAGTATGATTTATCAATACATGCTTCCCAGTAATAAAAAAAATTAAGTTACATAAGCTCAGGTGCTTTTGAGAATTTCAATGTTACCATCCTTGTGCCCCATTGATAATGATTTTAATTTAGAAAGCAATATTTTGAAAAGATTTATAAAATAATAATCTTTGCATTTGATATAGCACCTAACCATCGAGATGTCTCCCAGTGCTTCTAAGGATTTTATTGTGAATAATGAGGAGACTATGTATAGGCAAATATGTATTTCCCCCTTCCCTAAGAACACTTAAACTAAGCAACATTTCTAAGGTGACAGTGTGCTACCATATCTTGTTTGTACTGCTTTTGAGTTAATCTAGTATGTGATATGCTTGTTATGTTACCTTCCTCTTCGACAGTGATTCTTTCTCCTTCCTAACAGTCCAGGAAAGAGAAGAAACTCACAGTATCAACACGTCAAACCTTACAAAGTTGCTTGTTGACTCAAAAACAATTTCAGTT